CATAAGGCAACATGCATGACAGCAAAAAAGAGAAGCTCTAAATTCCATGTTGGATAAGTCATCGCTTTTGTATTATTAATGCAAACTAGTGTTACTTTGTGAGCCATTTTTTCAACTTAAAACTTTCACATCTACAGATCAAAACCCAATTTTAAGATAAGTAACTAAAGACTGAAATAGATCATTAAGTCACAGGTTGAACTGCAGAAGAATACCTCTTCCAAGTATCACTTTTAGAAGATACAAGAGATGACTGCACTATAAAAAAATTAAAAAAAAAAATCACAACTAGAGGTATAGCCTAAAGTTACATGACTAACCACAGCTGATGGAAAACAATGGCAATATGAAGATTCACAGTAAGCTGATTGCAGGTGTGCTACAGCTTCTCCTCCTTAGTTCCTGCCTCTTACTTCATCCAAAGTAGAATACCGCTTCAGGCTAAGTAAAATAGAACAACAGCTGCAGAACTAAATGGCTATTCTTTCTGCAAATGAGCAGCTGTGGTAGAAAATTGGCCCTCTGGCAGTCTAGAGTATAATAGTTCTCATACTCTACTAGAAGGCACAAACAAATATTTCAGAGGAATTACAGTAAGAAGTTAAGAAAAGCTGGCTAAGGAAGAAATGATAAAGGAATCATGGAAGAACTCAGAGAGAAAAATGAACACTTCAAAAGAAAGTTGTAACAATGCAATGATCTGTATTTAAAATAACTACAGTTACACAGAACAGTTCTAAGCAAAAATAACAATGGACTGTCTCCAGAAACTTAAGTCAACTATAAAATGGGAAGCAAAGCCATGAGAAACTTCAGGCAATTCTGCCAAAACCAGAAAGAAAATATGAATTTGGTGAAGGACTACAATACCACAAAAGGAACGCAGATAATCTATTTCTACTGGAGAACACAGCAGTATCCACAGACACCAGGAGTTAACTCACCTCAACACCGAAATAACCCAGCTGTGTTTCAGTTATCTAAAGGCAGGTGAACACTTAGAACACTGGGGTTTTTTCCCAGCCTTACTACAAACCTCTTGTGAGATACAAGGAAAAGCAATGATCTTTGTCCCTCAGTTCTGCAAGATACCTCTGCGCACCATCTCCTTTGGAAATGGAAGCTGTCCCCAGCACAGACATAAAACAAGGCTTCAGCTGGACTCTTATTTGTACTAACAGTAGCCTCTAGACAAAACCAAAACAGCTGACACTAGAGACTTGGGAAATAAGTTCCCAACAAGATCAGTTAAATTTACTTTCACTTACACACCTTCTCACAAACATCTACACAACACTGGGCAGGGTGCTGGTTTACCATCTTCCTTAAGAATACAGATTTTTCTTCACCATAAGAAGTCAAGGAAGTTACATTCTGGGATAACTATAGAGAGATTTCCTGTTAAGAAAGGATAATTACAGCATTGCAACTTCCTTCCAAGCCATCCATCTACATTCTCCTTTAAAGAGTGCTACTCCATTATCTATAAGCAGATAGGGTTACTATGCCATTCATTAAAGAACCCAACCCTAAATGTGTTTCAGATCAAAGCTGTTTTAAATACACTCCACAACACACGCACACAAACATTGTTATGCTGCTGAGATATCACTGCTCCAGTATTTCTCTGAACTGACCTAGTGAAACATAGTTAATGCCAAGTAGGAGGTATCTTCTGTTTTTCCTAACATGAATTATCCACCACTTATACCTATGGAAGCACCACCAGCCCCAATAGAATCATGTAAAAAAAAAAAAGTGAAACCTGGCACCAAGTTTTCCAGCACCATTTAAATTCAAACAACCTAAAGCACTTGTTCTTAGCATCACTATACAGAACTGAACACAGCAACCAAAAAGCTAAACACAAAAGAAAGGGCTGAACAAATCACAGCATACAAGTTAAACCCAGAAACCAGTTTTGAGCTACTGCTGCTCAGAGAGCTATGAAAACTAGGACAAAGTTCTAGTGAAACTAGGTTTTCTGTAAAAGAAATTTCATGAACTACACTTTGAGGGTTTCAAGACTATTAAACCTGTCTGATTACTGTAGAACAAGTAAAGAACCATTACAAAAGCAGCACCTAGATCACAAAATAGAGAATTCTTATCCCAGCTATAAGACTGGGCCTCCAGAACAGGAGAAAAAGCATACCCTGAGTGCAAGTATATGACCCATAAGACGATTGTTGCTACTTGTGATAAGCCATGTCCACTTCTGAACTAGCATTGTAATTCTTTCTCCCTCAAAGCAAACAAGCAACTAAGCTTTGTAGCAGGAGAGGAAGAACTTTCTTTGGAGTAGATTATATTTTTACCATTATGGGCTAAGAATGCCTTTTTACATTCTTTGATTATTAAGTTAACGGTCACTGAGGGAAATGCAGAAGGAATATACAAACCTAGGATGGGGATCATTTCAGTTTTGGAACCCCACAGTCAAGAGCAAGATAAATAAGGATAGGAATAACCATGTGCCCAGGTACCTGTGTCGGACTACCCCCACTTGTATGAGTTAATGTGAGGCTGAGTTACTTAAATGTGTTAATGATGGCTCAAGCTTAATAAAGAAACAATTTCAGAAACAGGACAGCCAAGAGATTTAGAGATCTGTATAAGCAATATAAACACCATATTAACAAGAATGTATGTCATGGTCACAGAAAATGCTACAAAACTAAGACTTCATTCCAGGACAGTATTAGAAAACTCAGCTTATCAACCTGTCCAGGACAGAACCTTTAACAAAGGAAGTTTTAACTGTCATTACAACAACAAACACTACTTAGAAAAATATTTAAGCATGCCACCTATGAAGACTGGTATATTAATTGTCATTCACAGCGAGATGTCAGTTCATAAGACTTAACTTGTAGTTAAACCGTTTGTTGTAAAAGGCAGATAACTGTTAAAGTGCAAATAACTCAGAGGTGGGGCTTGAGTCACAGCTTGTGCAAGAAGCATTCATTTTTAAACATACAACCATAAACGGTATGAACAAAGAAAATTTTCAAAATACGAAACCATGTGTCATTTCCTGATGCAAGGAACAGAGACTCCCAACAAACTTATTAGAGGCAGCATACAAAACTTATCTACTCATGATCTATTTTAAACACTAAAAAAAAAAAAGGCAACTAGTAGTAAAACCAATTAAAAAAACAAGTTTGCTTTGCTCTGATAAATTAGTTCTCTGAGAAAGAAGCAGGAACTGGGACCTTTGACAGTATAGAGTAGACAAGAGAAATACACAAATGGCTTTCTCATCCAGCAACTACCACATAGCTTACTAAGGAAGTTCAGGCACCCTTCTACAGCAGCATCCTATAGGTCTCAATTACGACGTCCCCAGCAACCCTGTTCAGAACACCACCCTTGTACACACACCCTTGCATGCACAAGCTAGTCTGAAGAGCAGTTGTCTAGTCAGTTTGATGTTCTTTTTCATAAAGCTTATACCATGAAATAATTCAGCTGCTAAATGTCCTATAACTGAAACTGTACTTTTAGCATCCTTACAGACTAAACCTGACAAAGTTTTTTTCCAGAAAGCCTCCCTTCTGTTGTGTGAAATTCTGTAACACCATGACTTCATACATACGCCATGTGACAAGGTGCTTTCTCTACCTCAGACTAAGTTACTTAAAGCCCAAAGTTTTCCTCAGCCTTCTGACAACCTGGGCTGAGCAAAAAATAACAAAGCCACTCAGTTACTACTCAGTCTTCATGCAAGAAATTAAATGGAAAAGGAAACAGCAGAAAGAAACTGAGACAGCTGTTCTGGGGCTACCCTAAAAAAATGGATCACATCCGTCTTAGGTACTCGCAGAACAAGAATTTCTTAAAGTCAGATATGTTTTGGTGGAAAGAAGACATAACTACAGTACAATTAATCCTAGTACTATCATCTGGTCTTCTCATTTGGATATAGAACGACTCAGAAGGCACAAATTCAAGACACACGAAGACCAAACCTGACGTGGGTGGGAGGAAAGGAGAAAGCATACATACAGAAGGCATAGCCACACATCTCTCTCCAGTATCTCATTACGTACCGGGGGAAGTGAAGGGAGGCTTGACGGAGAGAACAGTCCTTAAAAAGACTAGAATAAATAGATGCAAGGTAATAAGGTATTCAACCAAGAACATTCCGAGTCCTGTGACCTTACAGGTTAGTGGAAGACACACTAATACGAACTTCAGTGCTCATCATACTCTTCATAATCACCTGCATGGAACAGCTGACAGAAAACCTTTCAGGCCTTCCCACTTCAGATTTATTTTTAATAGAAAATGAAAAATTGCCATTCCCTGTATGGGATGTTAAACTCAGGTACTGAAAGTCTAAAGAAGTCCTTAGGCCCATCTTCCCAAGTGAAGGAGACAGACTAGAAAGGACAAGACTGATAAGACTAAGAACAACCTTACTGAGAGAGATTAGCCGCTCAAGCACTCATTTCACATTCTTCTACATGAACATTTACAAGAATGAAAGATTTTTTTTTTTTGTCAGTGAATTCAGATAACTGATCAGCTATTCCTTCTTGAAACTCCTGCACCTCCTCTACTGAATGGGGGAGTGGTGCCCTAGCAAAACACAGATCAATTAGTAAGGAAATTACAGCCCATTCGTCTGCTTGGCCTCTGTGGTTCTATCTCTCCAAAGAAGGGGTATAGGGCAAGCCCTGTCCTTCAGAAGCTCACATTGTCCAGGGCCCTGTGCACAGGGAAGAGCTAATAAGGCCCCTACCCTGACCAGCCTCTCCCAAGCTCTTCATCGCCACGTCCCCGATGCTACCCACCCCTCCACCCATAAGAATGTCCTATGCTGAAACACACAGAGCTTCTCCGCCTGACAAGGCTTCACGTCCCCAAAAGGCCAGTGGGAAAGGAGGCAGCCCCACAGCGGGTACCCTCCTCCCCGGGACCCCGGGACAGGGGGTGGCCCGGCGGGACGCGCGGGGAAAGCCCCTGGGCCGCTATCCCTCCCCGGTACTCACAGTCCAGGTGCTTCTTCTTGGGCCCCATGACCTCGTGGGTTGTGGCCTTACAGACGGTTTTGGAGACCGCC